TCCAGCCCAAGATCACGCTGCTCGCCACCTCCTGCCAGCTCTCCTGAGGCTGCAGCCTGCAGGTGAGCCTCCCTGTTCTCCTGCCCCCACCCACAGCCCTCTGTGCAGAGGGACTGACCCCCTCCCCCCATATCAGTGGTGGGACACCATATCTTTCATTGAAAATCCGCCCCTGCCATTGGTGAATGAAGGGATCCAGTGGCCAACAGCAGCAGTAGATGTGCAAGGCTGGTTGCAGGGTGGAGATGCAGCACATGCGGCCAGTTGCTCCCCCTGCTGGCCTATCGTGTAGCTGCAGCTGCATGCAAGCTCTCGGCCAGAACGGCTCTGCCCCCCCTCCCATTTCTGGCTGGCACCGGCATCTCTGTGTGTGGGCAACCCGCCCCTGGTCGGAGCACTCACAGCTCCTTCCTTCCCACACTGCCTCTGACTAGGCCAGCTGCTTGGGAAAGCCCAAGTCCCTCTGGGCCGGAGTGTTGGCCAGGAGGAGCTGAGCCCTGCGTGTGCCAAAGCCCCGCACTGATCCTCAGCTCAGCTCCAGAGTGGTGGTGGGGTGGGGGGAGCAATGGCCAGCCTGTTCCAGAGATTAGCACCCTCTTCACCTCCCATCCTGGGAGCACTGGGCTGCTCCATCCCCTAGGCACCCTCCCCCGCTGAGCCAGCTCTCTGGCCATGTTCGCTGAAGCCCCGTCGTCAGGTTTCCTGGGGGCAGAGAGATTTAAAACATGGACAAAGGAATTCCTGAGCTGATCCCACAGCTCACACAGTGCGCTAGCGCAATCCCAACTCTTTTCAACGGTGGATCCTTGTTTATCCCTGTAGGATAAAATGTTCTGAGTCAGGCTATGATATTCTGTTAAGAACCCCTATTCTAAAGTTGGAGTCTGGGACTGGCACACAAACACAGTACATGATGGTTACCTCCCGCCCTCCCACCCTCCCGGCGCACACCTAGCCCAGGGTGGGAGACAAGACATCAGTGGTGAATATAGGGCAAGGCGAGTGGGGCGGCTGTTCCGGGCCCTGCGCTTCAAAAGGCCCCGCGCACACGCACACGCACACGCACACGCACACGCACAACCTGTCAGCTGTGGCCTTGGCGCATGTGTGAAATTGTGCTGCCCCGGGCCCCGCGCTTCAATAGGCCCCACGCCCCGGGCCCCGCAAAACTCTCATCCGCCCCTGCAGGACATGACACATTCAATGGTGCTAGGAAACAAATGTGCCATTGTCAAGTACTCCTAATGTCTCTGTTTTAATCCCCGATGGACCACATCCTGCAGAGATATGTCTTGAAGATGACAGACTTACCACCACTTAATACATAATTGATAATTGATGTCTGCTTTGTTTAAATACTTGTTTTACTGGAAACACTATGTATCTTTATATTATAGCTCTTATTTTGCCTCACAATTAGCACAGTGTAATAAACTCTCCCGCTTGCTTCACATACGGTGTCCTGATTCTATTCCTTCAATCCCATGAAACCTACTGCTTCATGCAGCTGGCCCAGCACTAGCTAACACAGCTTACACAGCACCGTTACTGTAACGTCCATTGGACTGGGGAGTATAATCAGCCTTGAAAAATGCTTCATGTCATGTCTTGGGCAAGAACACTTTGTGACGGGGCTAGTGGGTTCTCATTGGTGTCTTCAAGGTAAAGGCTGGACAAGTGAACTTCTTGGACTGGGCTTGCTAAGTTTTTGGGGTAGTTTTGTGAGGCTGCCTTGCATGTTCATGGATTCTTCCACTAGCTGGCACTACAGCTCTTTCATAGTCAGAAGAGTGACTTCTGTAGACTGTTATAGAATCATAGAATACCAGAACTAGAAGGGATCGTGAGAGGTCATTGAGTCCAGTCCCCTGTCTGCACGGCAGGACCAAATATCGTCTAGACCGGTGTTTCTGAAAGTGTTCCGCGGAATTACTCGCCCTGGTTTGTTTATTTACCGGCACCGCGGCCTTGGAGCTTCAAGGCTTCTATTGGCTCCGTTTCGTACTTTACAGACAAGGAGAGCTGCGGGAAGCAATAGCCTGGCCCACGGCACTTCCCGCGGCTCCCCTTGGTTGCACAGGATGAAATGGAGCCAATGGGAGCTGTGAGGCTCCGTGGTGCTAGCGCCGGTAAATATACGAACCGGGGTGGCCAGTTAATATGTTTCTGAGAGTGATTCCATGGAACACTTTCAGAAATACTGGTCTAGACCATCTCTGGCAAGTGTCTATCTAACCTGCTCTTTAATATCTCCACAGATGGAGATTCCACAACCTACCTAGGCAACTTATTCCAGTGTTTAACCACCTTGACCATTAGGAAGTTTTCCCTAATATCCAACCTAAACCTCCCTTGCTGCAGTTTAAGCCCATTGCTTCTTGTCCTATCATCAAAGGCCAAGGAGAACAATGTTTCTCCCTCCTCTTTGTGACACCCTTTTAGATACTTGAAAATCACTTTCATGTCTCCTCTCATCTTCTCTTTGCCAAGCTAAACAAGCCCAGTTCTTTCAGTCTTCCATAAGAACATAAGAACATAAGCTTCCCTTATAGCTCATGTTCTCTAGACCTTTAATCATTCTTGTTGCTCTTCTCTGGACTCTCTCCAATTTCTCCACATCTTTCTTGAAATGTGGTGCCCAGAACTGAACAAATGTTCTAACTGAGGCCTAATCAGCACAGAGTAGAATGGAAGAATGACTTCTCATGTCTTCCTCACAACACTCTTGTTAATGCACACGAGAATTACGTTTGCTTTTTTCACAACAGTATCACACTATTGTCTCATAGTTAGCTTGTGGTCCACTATGAACCCTGATCCCTTTCTGCAGTACTCCTTCCTAGCCAGTCAATTCCCATTCTGTATGTGTGAAACGGATTGTTCCTTCCTAAGTGGAGTACTTTGCATGTGTTCTCATTCAACTTCAAACTATTCACCTCAGACCATTTCTTCAGTTTGTCTAGATCATTTTGAATTATGACCTTATCCTCCAAAGCACTTGCAAACCCTCCCAGCTTGGTATCACCTGCAAAATTAATAAGTGTACTCTCTATACCATCATCTAAATTATTGATGAAGATATTGAACAGAACCAGTCCCCAAACAGACCCCCACAGAACCCCACTTTTTATGCCCTTCCAACTTTCCGAGAACAGTGATCCAGCTAGTTATGCACCAACCTTATAGTAGCTCCATCCAGGGGTGGCCCATGAGCCTAGGCAGACTCGGTGGTCACCTAGGGCGCAGCCGGCCTGGGGCGCCCGATGATGACGTCATGGGGCACCTGGATGCCTGATGATTACGTCATGGCCATTGATGGCTGTGCAGGAGGGGGCACCAATCGCACCTTCTGCCTGGGGCACCAGTTGCCACAGCCGGCCTCGGGCCGCTCCTGGCGCCATCTAAGTTGTATTTGCCTAGTTTATTGATAAGAAGATCTTGAGAGACGGTATCAAACGCCTTACTAAAGTTTAGGTGTACCACGTCTACCGCTTT